AAAAAACTTATAATTAAAATATATATTTAAAATTAAATATATTAATTATTATTTATAAATAATATATTAAATTATTATATTTATTATAAATTATAATGTTATAACTATTATAAAATACAATATAAAATGTAAATAATAATTTATATTATACGTCTTATACTATATACATTTCAATACCTGAAATGAAATGGCGGGTTGGCGGATTTGGTACTATGGTCCGCTCTAATTAAGCTCATCAACTTTAAATCCTTAGAACCAACCTTAAGAGCTTAACGCCGTAGAAGGTAACAGAAGTTTCGTGCATCAGAAAACGGCTGACTGATCTATTCATTCTATTCATCTATCTGCCCGGGCACTTGAGGTACACTATCCGTACCACTATACAGTACAAACTCACCTATCACCGGTATGTTGGGCACAACCTTATGTAACCCTGCCACCCTACCTAGCAGGTAACAAGGATGTGTACGTAGCTCACCTTGTACCTTAACGTCAGATATTCTGCAAGTCTTCCCACACAACTATCACCGCGATCGACGCAAATGCGCATATACATTCTGCGCAAACTCGGACACCGGATCAACCTATACAGGCTGTTCTGATTGCTTCATTGTTATTTACCCTTTTCCGGCGCAATCGATATCTTCTCGACGACCTTACAGCTCTTCCTACATTCGTATCGACAGCCTTGTACCATTGCCAAGTCAAATCCGACAAACGATTCCTTTACAGCGCAACGAGCACATCATGGTGACTTACGCCACTTCATAGAACAAGCATGGTATATCGTGATTCCCTACGGTACATACATCCGTCGTATTTGATGACCAACTAAGCGCGACCCGAATTCAACTTGCACGCCAGGGCGGCTGCCATATATTCAACATGTTTCCAACATTCACGGGCAATTCGAGGCGACCTCGAAATGTCAATATGAGCGGCCAGCGGAATACGAACCCTTGGGCTACCTCGAGCTGGTCCCAGCCCGCCTCAGGTGCCTCCAAGACGGTAGCACAGGCACAAGCTGAACGTGAAAAGAGACAAAAAGAGCGTGAAGAGTTGAATGCCGCCAAGAGACTTCAGAGGGTCTGGAGAGGGCATAAGGGCCGACGAAGTTTCAAACAAGCATGTCGAGAAGAGTATGATGCCCTTTATTGCAAGTCGATGGGGCACGATCTTTTGGATCGTGTGATTAGTGCTCTGCCGCTTTTACTAGTGTTATTCGACCCAGTTCAAACAAACGATCAACGGAGACTAGATCTCTTCATTCATGACTTAGTGAACCTAGGACCAACCCCTTCGAATTTCAACCTCTTCACCCCGCGTTCTTGGGATCGATTAGCCGAGCTCATCGTAAGGGCTCTCGAGAAGTACGTATAACTCCTTAAATCATAACTGTTTGTACAACTTACTAACATTCTCGTTTGACAGGCGTCCCATCGACTCATCACAAGCCCATCTAAGTATACTAGTCGGGATTGTCAAAAGGCGACGGACTTCCATTATTCACTCATTAGCCAAATATTACAAACTCCTCTCGAAATATTTTGAGCAAGGCAGTTATGAGGGTATTTCGGTGGAACAACAAGATATCCTCGCCGAGGCTGCCACGGCGCCACTGATATCTTCTTCGAAACAAGGTATGTGAAAGGACTCTACTCATAGCTTGATCTTTTTTTAGGGTTGATAAGATTGTATAATCTTTATTGTTTCATTATTACTCACTCATAGCTAACGATTTCAAGATACAGATACCTTACAGGCGTATAAGGCGTTTGCATCATCCTTTCTCACGTCTCCAAATCTATCCTTCTTGCAAAAGGATCCTGCTAGGATCGCAAACCACATAGACCTCCATATTCTATCTCAGAGCGTGATCGACATCTATTCCAAACATGCAGATGTTAGCACCCTGTCGAAGAACGGTTCGTTGTGGCTCTTGGTACATTTCATCGCCTTGAATAGAACAACCCTCACTTCCCAAGGGACGAAATACTTGGAGGCTCTTTACCTCCAGCTATCCATACTCGTCGATGATATCCGAGTTCGTTATCACCGAAATAGTGCTTTCCTGGAGTCAAACAATGGCGACGATAATGCATCTGATGAGAATGACGCCGATGTTGAAGCCACTACTCCTTTATCTACATGGATGACGAATCAGTTGGATTTCCTCGTAGATGAAGATGGTATTTCAGAGCTCCTGAGTAGATTGACCTCGTGAGTATACACAACTTGAAACAGATCGAGTCGAACACTAACATAATCTAGGACTGCATTATCTCCGGATCGCCTATCCGAAGATGCGAGCCTTCTTGCCGGTTATACGCTGGTACTATTGAGGTGTTTCCCGAGCCACAGTGACGACATAAAAATGCGCCTTTTCCAGGGCGATATCTCTACGATCGATTTAGCAGGCTCTACGCTCATGCCGTCTGTAAAATATTTCTGGAAAGCTGCTTCGAACACCAGCGTATTTAAGCACATCACGCAAACCAGAGTCCAGCCTACGTCCGTCGTTACACTTCTACAGCCAGATCCCATACGTGATCGAGAATGGCGGACCATATTGCTATTTCTTGAACTGTACAACTTCCTTTTGAGGCTCACTGACGATGAAGATTTCCTGCCTGCGGACAGTCAGATTATCTCTCAACAGAGTCTTGCGACTCTCCGAATACGTTCCAGCGGTCTGAACCTAGACGAATTGAAACGACTGATCAACTTCCTCAAGAGCCTCTCATTTCCATTGTACTATAATTTATCAGACATCATGCCATCAACTTCGAGGTCTACCCGACTGAATGCCTTCATCGGTGTTGGTTCTGGAAACCAAACAGCGCGAGAAGATGAGACCAAGGCTACACAATCATCATTCGCTGGTATTATTGGCATGGACGTCCTAGGCCTAAGGAGTGCGTCCACAGCCACTATGCGATCGTTATATGAGAGAGATTCTCGAAGACGCTTCCTACCAAGCGATTTCTGGCTCATGACTTCAAAGTTCGATATGGATGGGTTTATTTCAGCTGTCGTCCTAGAGGAACAACAAAAGGATCAAATGGCAGAAGATGGTGACGACCCCGATGACTCCGACGAGGATACACTTGATACTTTCCACACATCTGCTGGACAACGTCTCTCGCGTGCAGCGCAGATTGAAAGGCATAGACGATTACGAAAAGTTCAGCGGGAACAAATACTAGCCCAAGTCGGCCCTAAACTCGAAATACTTCGTAATATGCCGTTCGCCATTCCTTTTGAAGTCAGGGTTCAGATATTTCGTCAGTTTGTTCATCTTGACAAATTCAAGCGCCGCGGGGGTCATGTTGACCCTGACCGGTGGCGTATATCAGTATTATCTGGAGATGCGATTACTTCTAGGGGAAGAGATACCATCGGTCGCCACACAGCCAGGGTCAAACGTGGGAATGTATTCTCTGACGCGTTCGACCAGTTCTATCCACTTGGTGAGAGCCTGAAGGAACCCATACAGATAACATTTGTTGACCAATTTGACCAACCTGAGGCTGGTATTGATGGTGGAGGTGTCACGAAGGAGTTCCTGACTAGCGTCATCGACGAAGCCTTCAACAACAGTTCAAATGGCCACAGCCTCTTTGTTACCAACAGCCAGAATCTATTATATCCAAACCCAACTGCAATTGACGACTTAGCAGAACTCCTTCGCCATTGTCAGATTGGAGAAAATGACCCTATTTGGAAGGACCGCTTCAGGGATCTTGCCCAACGTTACGAGTTTCTCGGTCGCCTGGTGGGAAAATGCATGTATGAGGGCATCCTTATTGACAAGGCCTTTGCTGGGTTCTTTCTCCTCAAGTGGTCGGCATCAGGACAAGGTTCGATGACTGATTACCGTGCGAACTTGAACGATCTACGAGACCTAGATCCAGAGCTATATCAAGGGCTCATCAATCTCAAGAATTACCCCGGAAAAGTATTAGACCTATCTCTAGACTTTACGATAACTGACGAGGTCCATTTGCCTGATGGAGGGGTGCGCACGGTAACCAGACCTCTCTGCAAAAACGGCGAGGATATCGCCGTCACAAACACAAACCGTCCACTCTATATTTCGTACGTTGTAAACCATCGGCTCGTAGCGCAACCATATCGACAAACCAAGGCTTTTCTTAGAGGCCTCGGGTCTATTATCAACCCAGCATGGCTATCCATGTTTAATCAATCTGAACTTCAGCACCTCGTAGGCGGCGACAGCTCTGAGATTGACGTCGAAGACCTGCGACGCAATACTGAGTACTCAGGCCTTTACTCTATCGGTCACGATGGAATAGAACATCCGACGGTCCAGATGTTCTGGCAAGTAATGCGAGAGTTCCAAGATCCGCAGCGTCGGGAGGTGCTAAAATATGTCACATCAACACCAAGAGCACCATTGTTAGGCTTTTCACAACTCAGCCCCCACTTCAGCATCAGAGATAGCGGTACTGACGAGGAACGACTGCCTAGTACAAGCACATGTGTCAATCTTCTGAAACTCCCGCGTTACAGCTCGAAAGAAACTTTGAGGAGCAAACTCCTCTACGCCATCCAGTCAGGAGCTGGTTTCGATCTGAGCTAAAGAAGGCCATGATACTAGCATCGCGAACTTAACCTACATCATAAGTCTTCAGCAGGTAAAATCCCATGGCCGGTCCTAATCACAACGTAAGAAAATATCGGCTAGAATGTGTGCACTTAGCTAAAAGCAGAATGAATTGATATTAGTGATCATGAATTAGCTTGTCTCCTTGGTGACTGAATACGAACCATCTCACAGTACTTAAGGTTTTAATGCTCAGTAAATCAATCACCGCTCAATGAACGATATCAGATACGCAATACTCTCTTTGTTTGAAAATCAGACCATCAAGGGTGCAGGTGATATGTTAAATTCCGAGACGGATGGAAGCTTTATATGAGATTATATCGCCACAACAGACATCCGCTCGTCGTTTCCCACGCTGGTACAGAGAAATGCTCCTATAGTCTAGCGGTTAGGACGTCGGATTCTGATTCCGAAAACATAGGTTCGATTCCTGTTAGGAGCTTCTAAAATTTTCTGTAATTTTTGTCTGGTTAAGAGAAAATCTTTTTGTGCGGTTTGCGCCTCCTTAAATAGGGGCATCATGCTCTAAGTGGAGAAATGTTAGGCTAGCCTTGAGTTAGAAGCTCCGTTTATGAACATCGTAAACACACAGTGTCAACGTAACCATACTGCTCTCACATTGCCGAAGCCCTTGTAAGAATTAAGGGACCTAGTGCTATTGAGTGCTATTGAGCGCTATAATTATAGGTAGTATTAGGGAGTTATTTTAACCAATCAAATTGCGAGTGAGTATATGCCTGAGTACCTCTGCTCTACCTGAAACCTTAGCTCAACAACGGTCGAACAACAGCTGAACAACACTTCAACAACAGTTAAACTTCAAGGCTTTCAATACTGATAACTCTTCGAATATTCATTCCTAAAGAAATATAGTTAGTATCTTTTAACTCATTAGTTCAAGAGCTTTAATATAAACCCCGGTTATACTATAAAATCTAAGATTGGAGTATTGTTAAGGTATTGTTAAACTGTTGCTAAGCTGTTGTTGAGCTGTTGTTCAGCTGTTGTTGAACCAAAAGTTGGAAAGGTCGAGATAATCTCACTAATGCTACCTAGAATTATAGCGCTAAGCAGCGCTAAGTCCCCTAATTCTTACCGGGTTCCAGCGATGGAACACAAGGATGGACAGCCCTGGAGTGTGTAAACAGTATAAGCCCTGTATGTTTTACGTCAATTGGCAATTTGGCAGCCTGATTTTCATATCGCGCACCCTATGAACAACATTTCAGCAACAGTTTAGCTACAGCTTATCAACAGCTTAATACCAATTAAATAATACTAAGACCTAGATCAAATTAAAGCCCTCGAGTCAAGAGATTGAACTATGTTAGTCATAATATTTTAAATTTATGCTTCGTAAAGCTATCAGCTTTGAAAGTCTTGAAGTTCAATTGCTGTCAAAGTGTTGTTAGAGTGTTGTTCAATCGTTGTTGAAAAGTCATATCGCGCACCCTAGGATCGGTTAGTAATTGTATCTGTATATTAATTATTTGCTCCAAATCGAGTCAATATATGTGGCAAATATAGGAAGCTCCTTTTATTCTATTAAGCAACTAGATAATAGAAGACATATACATGTGATTCTACGACTCTAAGTATGTTCTAATGCTGTCTAGGTGATGCTTTCTAGATTGTCCAACGAAATTCAGCGAGACCATCAATGATCTTTTTCCCTTCATCAGCACGTTTGTTTTCCCATTTTAGAAGTACTATAGAAATACAAGCAGCAACAACGGCAGCTATGCAGATAGCCATCACAGCTATTATCCCAGGGATATAATCAGGCGCATCCTATGTCTTGTTAGCATGACATATTGCAATTTCATTATGACACTTTGTACGAACCTGTTGACGGAAGACTAAAGATGAATAAATGCCACCAAGACCACTAACGGCGATCATAAAAGCGGTGGCACAGGCACGCTTAGCATCACCACGGAGGTTGTTAGCCTGCCACGCTAAAGTAGTAACCACAAGGCCATTAACGCCGGCCTCCCCTAGGAAAGTACCGACATATCTGGCCACGGGATTATTGACGAAACCCGTCATACACAAACCGACGATAGCGACTAGACCTTGGACAATAACAAACAGCCCTCGTAAGCGCATCTTATCAGCTAGCCATGAGATAAACATGCCTTCTACGACCGAGAATAGAGCCGGTGGCGCTGACAGCACAAATGCGAGATCTTGTGAGTATCCCATGCCGTTACGTAGGATAATCGGTAGGAAGAAGAGAAAAGCATAGACGCCCACAGCACCGGCCGAGTACATAAGCGCGAAGGACCAGACTTTCCAATCCGTAGCCGTCTCAACGAAGATAGCCCAAGTAACCTTCTCACGCTCCTCGGACCCGCGGTCCTCCGCAAGACGCGCTTTTACGAAGGCGCTCTCCTCTTCGGAGAGAAAGGTGTTGCGGTCCGAATCGGGGAAGTCGACAATTACGAACCAGGCGATTAGCGCGGCGACGCAGGTCATGATGCCCTCAATGATGTAGATCCATCTCCAGCCTTTGTAGCTCGGATGCACCTTGGATATCTGTATTAAACCGAGAGCTAGGATATTGGCGAAGGCAGAGAGCGCGGACCCCGTCATGAAGAATGTCGCTAGCCTCTTTTGAACCTCGTATCTCTTGTACCATGATGAGATCAAGTATACACATCCGGGATAAAACCCAGCCTCAAAAACGCCAAGGAAGGATCGTAGGACGGCTAGGGCTACCCAATTATTCAAGAATCCAATGCCCATGGACACAAGGCCCCAGGCGAACACGATGAGCGAGATCCAATTCGCAGCCCCGACGCGGTGGATAATCATATTACTCGGCAGCTCGAAGAGCATGTATCCAATGAAGAAGACAAGCAAGGCTACGGAAGCGCGATCCCCAACATCGAGTCCCACGTCTTCATCCAGCCCTGATATGCGCGCCACGGATATGTTACTTCGGTCTATCATCGCGATCGTGTATAGCGTGCCGAGGATAGGGAGGAGCCGTATGTCGATTTTGCGAAGGACCCGCTTCTCGAACTTCTTGTCGTGAGCGGCGGCGGCGCCCTCCTCCTCAACGGACGGCGCGTCATTGTCGAGTTTCTCGTGGAGCGAGACCGAGCCTTCCTTCTCCGCCATAGCGAAAAATCGGATAATAAAAGCACAGACTATAATTCATAGTAAAGAATAGCAGACCGAAGGAATTTTCAGTCCCAGAACTGATTCTTATTGCCGTTTTTCGGCCCTCGCTAGGTCGGGGTCCCGAAGGAATGTGGAGGAGGTTTGTGGGGTAAAAGCTGGGGTAGGTCGAGGGCTATACCTATGTCGATCCATTGTTGGTCGTGATCTCCCCGGCGAGTGCCTCTTCTGGGTATTCCGCAGGTCAGCCTGGTATGCGACGTTTCCCAAGGAAGACGCCAACTCCGCAACTAGAGAGGATGGGTAAGGTATATGGTCTGACAGTGATGTTGGCCCTGTATACTCGGGATTGCTCTCCAATGACAATACTTGTTCTTATAGACTATTTTTTAATGTTATGACAAGGACGTTATGGCTTATATTGCATACTGCGTTTTCATAAGTAGGTAGGTAGAAAATAGAAGATAAATGTACTTTTTGTGATCTCTTGGGAAGTATACCCATACATCAAGGTATAGTTGCTTTGCTCTATGCTTACCCGCTATAGTGGCTTGTCCAACCAGAGAGTACAGTACCTGTATGAGTCCTTGACGCTACCTACAACACGTGTCTTCCTGCCAGGTAGGTAGGTACCTAGTATGTACCTGTGGCGTACCGATTTTCTTACTGGCTGGGTAGGTACCTACCCCTAGCACTTTGGGAGGATACGGAGTGTAACCAAGACCATTCATAGATATTAATGGTCTGTCTCGATATCAACGTATAGCAGTTCGAAAAATCACAAGGGGTGGGCTTATATGAGCAAAAAAACTTCACGTATATGGGGTTATTGTCAAAGGAACTTAATTTCAGTGCAGCCTATCTGGAGAAAAGTGCTTCACACTCAACAGGTAATGAATCCGCCGGACCAGCTCTGCAGTCAGCCCGTCTATAGCAAAAGGACGTCCTTCACGGGTACCTACACCAACCCAATGTTACTCCGAGTTCCGCAATCCATCATCCACCAACCACCATCAGCAGGAATAACTAGTCGTAGTTTCGTGTCTAACCGTAGACAAGCTTGAAGATGTCGTTGTGGACGTAGTACTGGGTCTGTCCGTTGATGGCCTCGGGAACCAGATAGAATGACTGGGTGTAGCTCATTGGTCGCTGCTCCTCATCCACCTATTACTTCAAGTTAGATATCGTGTCATTTATTTCTGAGGGAAGGGAAGAAAGATCAATGAACTAACCAAAAGCTGACCGGTCACGAGCACCATAATATGGTCCGGAGCGACACCGGGCTGGGGATCCATAGTAGCCACCTGGTGCTTGATCTGCTGGAAAGGCAAGCCCTAAGAAGTTATGTAAGCTTTAGCTTTGTTTTAAATATGTTTTGGGCATTTTTATGTTGGTTGGTGCCTTACCTGAAGCTTCTCGATGATCGAGGGGGTGCCCTTGAACGAGGCGGACTCGAAGGTCAACATGGAGCCATCACGCTACACGGAAATTAGTCGGAGCCTTCTTTCGTAAAACAACATACTCGGGAAGGGGCGTACGTAGAGAGTTGCAAGGCCTGCTCGGTCCTGGTCAAATTGGTTGTAGTAATATTGAACGAATAAAGCTACACAGGAAGGCGCATGTTAGCTTGGGCCGCGAGGTCGTTACCGGATCGATGGCATAAAGAGTAATTTAATGAGGAGATACATACTCGCAACCTGTTGCAGATCTATTCATGATATTAGTACAAGGCTTGATATTTTATAATAAATCAACAGCCGCTGAGTTTTTAGGCTGCGACGCGTCGCAAGATGGGAACGGGAGCATAACATACCTGCGGCCATCTTGGAGGGGTTTATCGTCCGTGAGACAGGCAAGGAGGGCTTGATATCTGATGGGTGATTTCGTTCTTGAAGATTAACAAGCGTGCGTTAAGTTGTCACGCGAGTCAGGAGAGGAGGACAGGGGGTTTTGTGATTGTTTTTGTAGTTGTTAAGAGATGGAGAAAAGAATTGAGGCCATTCAGGTTGAACTTTTGGAGGGGCACCTTTAGAGGAGATCCACTTATTTATGTGCTAAATTTGTTTTTGGACGCCCTGTTCTGGCGGGGTAATCTTAATTTTAATTTTTAGTTTCGAATCGTCCAGTATTGTTAGGCAATTATCGTTATCTTCTGATTATGTAATGTGTCACACAGTGCCTTCCGAGGTTCTTTTCATTGTTTTCGTGGTGTCCAATGAGGTACCTCCGTACATGTACATATGGATACCTAATGCAATGTGTGTGGGTCTTCTTGCACTGTGACGTCAAAGCTTTTCTTCGGATCTTCAGCTGGGA